TTTCCACTCTAGTCTTTTTTATTTCTTACATCCTACTTACTTTTGGTTTGGTTTACTAATCTTTTTCTAGCTTCTTAAGGTGGAAATTTTGATTGTCAATTTTGGATTTTTTTTCTTTCTAATATGTTTGTACAGCTATACATTTCCCTCCACATACTGTTTTAATTACATCTCATTAATAATAGTATGTTGTATTTTCATTTTTATTCACTTTAAGATATGTATAATTATCCTCGTGTTTTCTTCTTTGACCCGTGATAACCATTTGCATGATATCTTTTTCATCTTTTTACATTCAACCTGTTTGTTTTATCTAAAGTGTGTTTCTTGTAAATACCATATAGTTAGATCTTGCCTTCTTTTTTTAATCCAGTATGGCAATCTTTGACTTTTGATTTTAGTCCAATCACACTTAACATAATCATTGATATGATTGGACTTACATCTAAAATTTTGTTATTTGTTTTATATGTATGTCACGTCTTTTTGTTTTTCTGTTCTTTACTGCTTCTTTTGTGTTAACCAAATATTTTTGGTATACTATTTCAATTTCTCTGTTGATTTTAGCTATATTTTGAGGTTTTTGTTTTAGTGGTTTCTCTGGGGGTTATAATATTCGTCTTCAACTTTTCACAGTCTACTTCAGTTTAATATTGATTTAATTTTGATTTAATTCCAGCATTAATAGTAACTTTGAGCCAATATACTTCTGTATGCTATAAACTCAACAGTATTATGTTATAGTTATTGCCCATAATAATCTTATGCTTTTTAAAATTGAGATAAAATGAGAAAATATATATGTATACAATGTTTAATAGTTACACATTTATTTACCATTTCAGTGCCCTTTATTCCTTCTTACTGGTTCAAGTTACCATCTGGTGTCATTTCCTTTTGTCTTAAAGCATTTTCTTTAGTGTCTCTTTAGCAAGAATAAATTTTCTTTCTTTTTATTTATCTGGAAATGTCTTTCAGTTTCATTTTTGAAGAACAGTTTTACTAAATATAGAATTCTTGATTGACAGGTTTTTCCCTGGACTTCTGAAATGTCACTTCACTGCCTCCTGGCCTCCATTTTTCTTCTGATGAGAATGCTGCTGTTGGTTATGTTATTCTTCTCCTGTATGGGATAATTCATCTCTTGCTACTTCCATGATTTCCCCATTAGCTTTGGTTTTCAGCAATTTGACAATGTTGTCTCTAGGTGTGGATTTCTTTGTGTTTATCTTACCCGGGATTTGTTGACCTTCTTATATCTGTAGGTTAATGTTTTTCATTAAATTTTGGACGTTTTCAGACATTATATTTTCACATTTTTTTTACTTAGCCCCTTTATTTCTGTCTTCTCCTCCTTATGCATATGTTAGTACTCTTAATGGTATCTCATAAGTTTCTGAGGATCTGTTCATTTTTCTTCATTTTTTTTTTTGTTGTTGTTATTCAGGTTGATTAACTTCATTAATCCATCTACAAGTTCACTGGTACTTTCTTTCACATGCTCAAACATGGTATTGAACCTCCCTAGTGATTTTTAAACTTTCAATCCCAGATTTTTATTTATTTATTTATTTTGAGGCAGAGTCTTGCTCTGTCACCCTGGCCAGGGTGCAGTAGCATCATCATAGCTCACTGAAACCTCAGTCAATCTCCCTGGGCTCAAGTGATCCTCCTGCTTCAGCCTCCTGAGTAGCTGGGACTACAGATGTGTACCACCATGCCCATTTTTTCATTTTTTCTATTTTTAGTAGAGACGTGGTCTCTCTCTTGCTCAGGCTGGTTTCGAACTCCTGACCGCAAGCAATCCTCCCACCTTGGCCTCCCAGAGTGCTAGGATTCTAGGCCTGAGTGACAGTGCCCAGCCAGATTTCTATTTTTAAATATATTCTATCTACTTATTTATATTCTCTTAATAGAGAATGGCACATTGCTGTCATATTTTTTCTTTAATTATTTTAACATATTTATAGTACATATTTTGAAAACCTTGTCTCTAAATGTAATTTCGGGATTTTGTCAGTTTCTATTGACTACTTTTTTTTTCCAGAGTGTGAGGCATATTTTCCTGTTTCCTTACATATCTAGTAATTTTTGGTTGAAAACTAAACATTTTAACTACACATTATAGCAATTCTGGATTTGGTTTTATTTTTTGAGTTTTTTGTTGTTGTTATCATTGTTTTGGTAATTTGCCTATACTTAAACTGTAGAATCTTTCTGCCCTATGGTTTTCAGCAGATGATATCTTTTATAAGGTTTTGTTGTTGTTACTTTAGCACATCTAAAAAGGTTTCCCTTGTGTCTGTTGCATAGCTTAGTAGTCACCCAGTGATTTGGGGGAGACATTATGTTCAAGCTGGTAAGGCTTCCACTCTCTGCCAAGTGATTTTGTGTGTGGATTGGCGAATGCATTCAAAGTTGCAACTAATACTCAAGACTCACTTCCTTTTTACTTTTTGCCATGCTCTCTTAAGTCTTTTCTGCATTTGCATACTTTCCCAATCAGCCATAGATGTGGAGAATTTATTTCAAACTTTCTATGACTCTCTTTTTTCCAGGGTCTCCCATTTAAATTTTTGTCTGGTCTGCCACTTACCCCAACTGAGACTGCAACCTCAGACTAGCAAAACTGCAAGATTTCCCTGCCTATTTCCAAACCAATCTGCCACATTTAACCAGCAAAACCATGAGTTTTCTCCCTCCACTCCATATTAAATCTACCCGCTGTCCTTGAAAAGAAGGCTGCTGGTTTTTCCCAACTGACCTTGGGGAATGGGAGAAACCCCAGCCAGAAGGGCCTCAGACTCTCACTGATCCTACCCAAAACCCTAACACTTCTTCCAAGAATAAATGCTTCTAAATTTGATAACTACTTTTGGTCAGTTTTCCTGGTCCTGATGTGGTTGTTTGGGATAATATTTCCTCAGTAAAAATGGCATATGTTCTTAGATGTCTTTGTTTGACAGTATCTTCAATTTATCCTTTACTTGAATGACAGTTTAACTGGCTACAGAATTCAACATTAAATATTTTATCTCCATACTTTGAAGACTTTATTTCATTATCTTCTGCTTCTATTGTTGCTGTTGAAAATTGAGAATCTGCTCTGATGTTTATTGCTTTATAGCTAATCTATCATTCTCTCTCTGGACTCTTTAAGATCTTATTTTGTGTTTGGTAGTCTGTAGTTCCTCAGCATTTTATCTAAGAATCTTAATTTTTATTTAATCCTGATTAGAACTCACTTGACTTCCTGTGTTTAAATCAATACAGACTTGATTATAGTTTTAATCAATTCTATAAATTTTAAAGCCAATTATCTTCTCATATATTATCTCTTCACTCTTTCAATTCTGTTCCAGAACTATTAGGTCTATTTTATGCCTTTTCCGTAATCTAAATCTCTCATTTTTCATCTAATTTTTCTTTTTATGCTACACTCCAAGTAATTTTCTCATATCTACCAGTTTGTCTTGTTTCTCTCTTCAGCTGTGTCTAGCCTGCCATTTAAGGTTCTTAGTGATTTTTTAATTTCAGCAATTTTTTTAGTTGCCTTCTAGATGTTCTATTTAATTCTTTTACAAAATATTGAAGTGATTTTTTTTTTAGGTCTCAATTTTTTAAATTTGTATTTAGTCTTGGAAAATACATATTTTATGGTGTCTATATAGTGATTTTATTAGCTGAAGTTTTAGGTATCTAATCTCATTCTTGGTTATATCTATTAAATTTTGCCCAAGGGGGATTACTTATTTTATTTTAAGTTAAATTCACTGGGATTTTACCTTTGAGGCTTTATGCAGTCTAGAATCAGGGGTGTCTATTAGCGATGACTTGAATTAGCATCTACTAAGTGCCATAGGGATAGCTCTATGCAGGAAGATTTTTAATGCTAGGTTTAGGACTTTGAGATTCCCAACCCATGCAAATCATGTAAATTTGAGCCCTAAACATAAATTAGATGAGGCCTGTTTTATATGTGAATTCTCAAAAGAGATTGTGCCACCCAGAGACCAGATAAGACAAACTGCCTTGTCTTCTCAATTTTGTCAGTAGAATATTTTCTGGTCCATTCTTTTAGTAAGTGTTCAGCCCTTCAAGTCTTCTAGTTTTGCAGGGTGGCAATAATGCAGGGGGGAGCAGGCAAGAAACTTAGTTCTAATTTTCTGTCTTCAGTGAGTCAAAAAGGGGTCATAGCTAAAAAATACACTTAAGCTGTTTAAAGAACATGAAAAGCATTAGAAATTATGATTCATGGTAAATGAAGGTAGCCATTTAATTGACCCATGGAAATTTATCATGTAGCTATCTGTCCTTTACAGAAGCCTATGGATTCCCCTTGAGTAGGGTCTTAGTATACAGTTACCAGAAACAAGATGTCTACTAACTTACTCTCTCTGTCCACCTCTACTTCTTACACATAACCTAAGGTACTTTACACTCATTCCCACAAAGGCCAGGTTCATTTTTTTTCCAGCCCTTACTGCCTCTAATACATTTATACCAAATATCAACTCAGTTATCCTTTCAATTCAAATATTTAGTCTGTTCCTGTTAAAAGAATTGGCACCCTGCCACTGTAATCCTCAATAAAGTTGAGAATTCTTATCATAGCCAATCATCCTCTTATTCCTGATGAAAAGACTATTTTAAAATATAAAATAAAGTTAATCTCATCATATTGCCATGACATTTTTTAAAATGTCAAATATTATAAGAAATGTTCAGCACTTTAAATAATTCACATATATTCACATGGTTTTAAAATATTTTTTAAAATAAACATACTTTGTTTAAAACATATCCCATAAATTGACAGGATCTTTGGAATATATATTAAGCAGATATCCCTTCCATCATACTAGTAAGCAATATTATCCTGAACCATGTATCATTATACAGAACTGGCTATTAATATATTAGATAAAATAAAATTCATCTTTTGCTTGTATACATCTGTCTATATAGATATATAGATGTATGCTTTTTTTATATTTCAGGAGTTATACTCTTTATGATATGGTGTATAATGTGGTCATTCTCAGGCTCTGAAGTTCTCCCTGGTGGAAATTTATTTGGAGTGTTAATTATTTTTTATAGTGCTTTTATTGGGGGGAAACTTTTGCAACTCATTAGAATACCTTCTGTGCCTCCGCTTCCACCTCTTCTTGGTAAGTATATAATTAGCTCTCCTTTCATTATTATTGGTTATATGTAATTTTTGAACATTTTCTATTTGGACTATATATAATTCAGAAATATTTCAATGTAATATGATCTATATTGCTTCTTTTTATATGTATTTACTGTATATATGTATATATATGTTGTGTGTATATATAGCTCCTTTATAGATGTATTTATTCTCTCCCTCTCTATATATACACACACACAAGTTTTTTCAAAAATCTATTTTTAAAATAATTTTAATATACTTACTGTATGATTCTTATTGCTTTATCACTTAATGGAATTTTTTACTTAATTTTAAATGTATTATAGAAAAAGAAAAATTTAGAAAAGACTGAATTTTTCTGTAGACAACCTAACCTTGAATACAATTACCAGATTCAAATATTATAGTGACTAGGGCACTAAAAGGTTCTGTGGTTTTCGAGGAAGCTGTTTGGGCATCTCCACTATGTATATCCATGTATGCATCATCTGCCTCACTGGTATTATACCTATTGCTTCATCACCATTGTTCGATAACTATCTAGCTGGACAGGGGAAAATTAATGGAAGAATTTCTATCAGAGGTATCTCTTATCTTCTAAGTATACCAGGTCCTCAAATAATGTTGTTTCATTCAAGGTTGTTTCCTTATAATGTTAATGAGAAAAAAACCCTAATAGTGGTGAGGGCCACTATCTGTGTGGAGTTTGTCCATTCTCCCCATGTCTGCGTGGGTTTCCTCTTACATCCCAAAGATGTGCACATTAGGTGAGCTGGCATGTCTAAATGGTCCCCGTCTGAGTGTGTGTGTGCGTGTGTGTGTGTGTGTGTGTGTGCGTGTGTGTGTGTGAGTGTGCCCTGTGGTAGAATGGCATCCTGCCCAGGGTGGGTTCCCACTTTGCACCCTGAACTGCCAGGATAGGCTTCAGTAACCCGCAGCCCTGAACTAGAATAACCGGGTTGGAAAATGAATGAATGAATGAATGAATACAAGTTATTGGAAAATAAAAATTTGTAAAGAATACGATAAACATACAGATATACAACAATGAACAATGAGGTTGGAAAGCACTCAGTGAGCCTGCCATTTTGTGATTGTTTTTGAACTGCATGGTGGGAAAAGGGGCTCCTGACAATTTTCACTTTGCAAACATTTATGCCTTTATTTAAACCACCACCACTATGACCGCTGTCATTCATCGATTCACCAAAAATTGGGTAAATAATTACCTTACTTACTTTTATTAGTCTTCTTAAATGTATGTATAGCTCATATTTATTTCTATAGGTAATAGTATCAGTGTTTGGGACTTTATTTGGAAGTCTGGTGATGTTTTCGTGCTCATAAATATGCTGTAGGAACTTAACTCTTGTTGATATCAATAAAGCTATGGAAAAATTTGTTTTGTTATACACCATTTTGCTTAAAAGTTGTAGTTTCCAAGAACCTGCTGATGATGTTAAATGAGGACTTACCATATTCAACACGTAAACATTCAGTATACTGTCAGTGGAGATAATCTCTACTTATCTCTAACACTCCTTCTAGGTTCATAATATTCTTGCAGCACCTTATAAGTATTCATTGAATCTTTTCCCTCCTCTCCAAAACTTCTGCTTTTGCTGTAAATTAGGCTGTTTGTTTCCAACTTTTGCATGGACTATGGCAGAGTCTTCTAACTGGTCTCTGTCTCCAATTTTATCCCTGTCTAATTCACTAAGACCCTCACATAGAAAATGCAAGACTCATTATTTCACTTGCTGCCTCAAACCTTCCCACGGTGCCTTAATCTGCCAAAGGGAATGGGGAGCTTTCCATGATCTGGCCCCTCCAGCTCATTCTCCCCGCTCCCATCCTTGCCCCTTATGTTCTAGCAACACTAAGTTATATGTTGTACCCCACTGGGATATGTTTTTTCTTATGTCTATTCTTTTATTTATGCTATGCCCTCTACTTGTATATAACCTGCCCTTCACCAAAGCAACAAGAGACATAGTGTGTTGAAAGAGTGGAAATTAAATGTTTGTTTTCTCTCTTGGAAAAATGAACTGAATCAGATATCTTTATTTTCTTCCTTCTAAGGGATGTTACTGGCTGGTTTTATTATTAGGAATGTTCCATTCATCAGTGACCATGTCCAAGTTCATACCTCATGGTCTTCAATTTTAAGAAACACTGCCCTTACCATTATCCTAATACGAGCTGGGCTTGGACTCGATCCACAGGTAGATTTCCAATTATCACGTGAATGAAGTTATTTCAAATATTGGAGGCTGATGGAAAAGCAAAAGAGGCAAAAATTTTGTGACGGCTCTTCCAAGTGGAGTCTGTAAGCAAAACTAAGATAAAGAACAAAGGCTTTGCAGAAATATTCTTACCTTAATTTCTATTTCTAGTCATAATATGACTCACTGTGCTGTCGAGCCTTCATTAGAGATCATCTTTAATTACTTGCATAGAGATAAATGTTCCTTATGCAGCACTTGTATTATTTGGGAGGCTCTTCCATGGAGAACTCTTAATTTTTTAGTTAACAAAGGATAAGGTCAGCCTATAAAGGCTTTTCTTTGTCTTCTAGGAATATTAAGAATTTCAATAATTTTTTTCATGATTTTTTCTCCAGAGAAGAACATTCCTGATCATCTTTGCATTATTGTAAAATTTAACCTTTTAAAATATTTCTTAAAATATTATGATCCAGGGATCATAATTCTACTTGAGTTTTAAGAAAATGACTATTCTTGAATATAATAGCTATTCAAATAAATGTAGCAAATGTATGGGTTTAATGGAAATATCTCAAGAGCATAAATAATTATAGTCAGTGATAATTTATTATATTTTCCAGTAGAAAATTTGAATCAATGAGAAAATTGAAAAGTTCTCCCTTTTTAAATTAATTATACAGTTTTTAAGTGATTTTTTTTAGCATGTTGGTACTTTCTATTTATAATTATTAAATTAAACAGTTCATCTCTAAAAAATTAACTGATGGGAAAAACTTATAGGATACTATAATACCATTTATTAGAAAAACTAAGGAAGGTAGATATAGCTATTTAATCACAAAGAAATGGGTATTTTTAAATAATTAAAATGCAATAATACTTTATAAAATGTGAAATTGTTTGTAACCCAATCTGTGATGACATATAAAATGAGCTGTGTGAGAGTTTCAAGTCCGGTGGGACAATGTGGCCAAATGAAATCTAGTTTAGTAAAAGCTTCCTACTCAAAAAAGACTATATATCTCAATATTTGCTTAAATAATTTTCTCGTCAGCCACTGTGAGTTTATCTAAATATGACTATTTTTATATTTCAGGCTTTGAAGAATTTGAAGAGAGTTTGTTTAAGATTGTCTGTGGGTCCATGCCTCATGGAGGCATGTGCAGGTGCTTTTTTTTCCCACTTCATTATGAAATTTCCCTGGGAATGGGGATTTCTATTAGGGTAATTTTTCTTATTTTTCCCTATGAAATTATTCAGTTAAGGATGCTTAGTTTTAAATTATTCAGAATGTTGTATAGACAAGCTCTTCACTAAAATTTTTTCACAGTGGTTTAAAAACCCCTTGGAAATCAGTTGATCAAAAGTAGAGCTATGTTCCAAATCTACCATATTCTCAACAAATATTCATAGTCTCTCAGTGTATAGTGCCAAGACAATTCACTTCATCAATTTATTCATTCTGTTCTGTATTATATTTGTATATTTAACCTATCTAATGGCCTCTTCCTCATACCCTATATGTGGATACAATTTCATATTGTAATATGTATGTAAGTATGTATATGAGAGAGATTTTATATAGATGCAGTTATAGAAATATAAACTCTCCCCTTTTTAAAAACAAGCAAATAAACAAAAACTCATCCCCTAAATCCAATGCTCCATCTATCTTTATCCACCATCTATTTCCCTATGTCTGAATTTGTCAAAAGAAGTCTGTAATCACTATCTCTAGATTCTAACTCCTTTTCATTTTTCAATTCATTAACTTTTGCCTCCACTTACCCATTTCATTGAAATTTTAGCAAAGTTCACCCACTACATACTTACTACCAAATCCAGTGGATTTTTAAAATTAATTTTTAAGTATTCTATGTCTAAATGATAGAAAACCTTTGGCTACCATATTTTTTAGTGACATGCTACAATTTAGATATCTGTCTTTTAACATATGTAATGTTTTTTGCCATGTAAAAATCTAAAATGTTTCTATGGTCCGAACTACTAATTTCCCTTTCTGATTGCTTATGTTGTTTCTATGTTTAAAAAGATTCCCATACTAAGATCAGGAAAATGGTTGCGTATATGTTCTTCTAAATTTGTTTATGATTTCCTTCATACATCTAAATCTGTAATTCCTCTGGGATTTGGTGGAGTAAG